GTACACTTAATGAGAAAGTACAATGGCTTGAGCATTGTGAAGTTATTATTTTTACATTAAAGGCAAATTTGTTATAGAAATAAAAAACAAAAACTATTCATACTCCCTCTACCCTGATAAATCATGCTATAGCTCTTATTGATATACTTATGAATTTTTATATAATTATAATCACAGTATACAAGCAATCTGAGTTTAGCACTTTTCATTCAACATTTATTATGTAGAAAGCATTTTTTTTTCCAATTTCTAACTGAACATCATAGCATTCCATGGCTGCTTTAACCAGTCTAATTATTGAATATGTATGTAGCTGTCTCCCATTTTTTTTGTTCCTTTTTAGATAATACTGCAATAAACACCTTTGCTCAAATTTGATTTTAACTTTTTGTGGGGAAGGTTTTATTTTTACAACAAATTGAAAGGAGTGAGATTGCTGGGCCAATTGTCAAGTAATTTGGGTAGTTAAGGGTTTGAGAGGAGCCAGTTGGAGGAGGACACTGTCAGTGACTCAAAAATGTCTTATCTTGAGAAAAAGGGGCATGTTTTATAAAGAAAGGTGAGAGTTTACTAGCAGAACTGTACCTGGTGTTCAATGGCATTGAAGACTCCAGAGCTGAGGCAGAGCAAGATGTTATACACGCCAGAACATTCTACTGAGAACCTCTTCCCCTTGTTAACCAAGATCATGTGGAAATGGCTTTGGATTTGAATCAGACTGTCTGGGAGGGTGACTCCACACTCCTCTGTCTTCGAGGTTTTTACTTCTTGCCCAAGGTCAGGGCTGACTCATGGGTGGGAAGGCACTGGATTTGTCTCAGGAAGCCTGGAAAAGCAGTGGAAGGGAAAAGAGATGACCAGGCAAAAGGGACACAGCTAAATAATGAAAGAGAACAACTCAACTATCATTCCAGAATTAGTTGGTGTTTGCCAAGGCTCTCTTTCTCTTCACCCACACACACAAGGGCAAAGTACAAAGGGTAGTCGGTCCTCCTCCTATCATCCCTGGAGGCTGGAGGAGCTGAGAGAGAAATACGGCCTTTAATGAACAAAATTGCTAATAAGCCTTAAATCCCAACATCTCCCATCACTAATGGCTTCACAGCAGAATTTATCATTTATTTCTCTTTCTTTTCAGCTAAAGGGTTTTACCAGTTTTATCAAACTGCAGCTAAATAGCCAATGAACTCTGCCTTTGTTGGAAAGGATCTTTTTGAAAGAAATGTAACATTTTAGGAAAGGAAACACACACACACACACACACACACACACACACACACACACACACACAAAACAGGCTGCATTATGAGATTTCCAATTTTGCCATGATTTTGTTCTCTGAGAGTCCAGGGCTTTGAGTAGATTGATGATGCAGGAACTGTAATAAGAAGTCCTTCTATGATAACAAATGAAAAATTGAAAACCCATTTTAGCCATATTTGAGTTCATACTGTTATCTCATTGTTTTTTTCACCAATTACCTGTCTGTTGTGCTTTTCACTAACCCAGGCTCTGTAGCTGCATTCAGCATCTTGTAGGTTTCTAAATTTTTTTTTACTGGAGCAATATATTTCTAATATTACCACTACCCCTTACCATCAACAAACAAACAAAACTGTAGAAAATCTATACAGATTTTAATAATCAACATATTTATCTGCAAAAAGAAAAATTCTAGTTTGAACTGAATGGTTCTCAAAAATCTGCGGAGCTAAATGGTGGTGTTAAAAGCATCTGACACAGTTAGCCATCTGTATTTCCTCTATACTTCTCCAAAGAGGAAATATAGATGGCTAACAGACATATGAAGAGATGCTCAAGGTCGCTAACATCAGAGAAATGCAAATTAAAACCACAATGAGATATCACCTCACACCTGTCAGAATGGCTATCATCAATAAATCAAATAACAGCAAGTGTTGGCGAGGATGCGGAGAAAAGAAAACCCTCATACGTCGTTGGTGGAATTGCAAATTGATACAGCTGCTATGGAAAACGGTATGGAGGTTTCTCAAAAAATTAAAAAAGGATATAGTTTTTGACCCAACAATTACACTTCTGTGTATTTATCCAAAGAAAATCAAAATAATAATTCATAAAGATCCGTGCGCTCCAATATTCATGGCAGCACAATTTACAATAGCCAGGATATGGAAGCAACCTAAATGCCCATCAACAGATGATTGGATAAAAAAATTATGGTCCATATATACAATGGAATATTACTCAGCCATTAAAAAAATGAAATCCTACCATTTGCAACAACATGGATGGACCTAGAGGTTATTGTGCTGAGTGAAATATGTCAGATAGAGAAAGATAAATATATGATTTCACTCATATGTGGAATCTAAGGAACAAAAAGAACAAATCAAAAACAGACTCACAAATATAATGGACAATTTGGTGACAGACAGAGGGGAGGGGGTTTGGGGAGCTGGAAGATGGGGTGAAGGATTAAAGAAGGACAAATTAGTAGTTGATAGTTGGGCAAGAGGATGGGGAGCATGGCACAGGGAATGCAATTAGCATTAATATGATGGCTAAGCGGAGAGTCAGGGGAGGGAGGTAGCAATTGGGGGATCGTTTTATGAGCAAAATAGATGTCTAACCAATGTACTGTATACTTGAAACTAATTTAAATAAATAAATTTATTTAAAAAAAATTATCTAACACAGGTCCACATAGATCTCTATTTTTCTGTCCTACCAATCTTCCAGACAAACAAGACTCCAGATAAACCTTGATGAAACATTACTCTGCTCCCTAGAAATGGCTACAAATATATTTCAAAATTACATTTCAGTACTTTTACAGTTCTATAAATATTTTTCATGTTCCAGTAGACTTTTAAACCCATTTAAAGGCTTAAAAGTATCCAAGGACTGTTTAGAAGCATAGTCTTCTTGCTATAGGCACAATGAAGGAATTAAAAAAGTGAAAAATGAGGAAAATCAGACAGAAAGGATTTATAATATATCCCGTAAACAAGATGCAAGTTGCTGTGTGTTCTCCGAAAATTACTTTGCCTTTGTGACTAATCTATGAAGGCAAATTATCATCCAGGAGACCGGCTAGAACCCAACTTTTAATAAGAGCAAAGTAGAACCAAGGCCTCTAAAAGAAGGAAATAATCTCTGAGTGAAAGAAAAGATAAGGGATTGGAATTAAGTAGTAGCAATGGATTTGAGACAAATTTACATTGTAGAGACTACAGTAGAACCAAAGTTAGGGATTGGGACAGTCATTGGTGAGAAATGTTTATTTAGCATTATGTAGATTGCAATTTTTCATACGCATCATCTCATTTGATTCTCATGGTAACCCTAATAAATATTATTATGTTCATTTTGCACATGGAGAAAATGAAACTCATTTTGGCCATGAACAAATTAGAGTAAATGACTTGTTCGATATCACAGAAAATAGTAGAGCTGGAACTTCTGACTACAGTTGTGTGCTGCTTAACAATAGGGATACATCTTGAGAAATGCATCTTTAGGCAGTTTCTTTGTTGTGCAAACAACATAGAGTTCACTTACACAAACCTAGATAGTGTAACCTACTACATACCTTGGCTATGACATAGCCTTTTGCTCCTAGGCTACAGACCTGTATAAAATGTTATTGTAAAAACAACAGGAGATTAAATGAAGAGAAAATTATGCAGTTCAAAGACTCGGTAAACACGAGATGTATGAGGCTGCTGCTGGCATATTATGGCGTACTGTTTTATAGCAAACATTTTTTTTTATATGCTGTAAGAGGACACTCTAACATAACAATAAAAAGCATAATATAGTAAATACATAAACTAGTAACATAGTCATTTATTATCATTATCAAGTATGTCTTGCACATAATCAAACTGCTATACTTTTACACCACTGACAATACGGTAGGTTTGATAACACCAGCAGCACCACAAACACTTGAGTAATGCTTTGTGCTAGGACATTACAATGGCTATGACATTACCATGGCTGCGACGTCACTAGGTGAAAGGGATTTCTCAGCTCCTTTATATCTTTTGGCACTATCATTGTATATGCGGTTTGTGTTAAGTGAACGGTCACTATGCAGTGCATTATTGTATTTTATTAGTGCCCTTTTCACTCCACCCTCCTGCCTCAAGAAGTAACTTGAAAGTCAGAACTGCAGTCTTCTTTAAAGTTGATGGGAGTTTGGGTGGGCTCTTGGATTGATCAAAGGCATAGAGGAACAATGGAATTGAGCAGCAATTAGTTTCACCAAGCAGTGCAAGCAGGAATTGATAGCTTTGCAATCCTGCAGGAGTGAGGCTTTGTTTGTTCACTGGTGTGCCTACTTATGTGCCTACTTATGCTGAACTAGTCCTGAGATGTGTGGACAATATATTTTGTTTGCTCATGGTATCTGACTTTGGAAAATCCCTTTTGACAACTTATTAATGAGGTTCAGGTATGAGAAGATCAGAGGGAAAGACTTCTGTTGGAGATACTGTATATGCCTGACTCCCAGGGGGCATTGTTCCTGGCTTCTTTGGATAGGGCAGCAGGAGCGAGAGAGAAGGTAGATAACCTAGATTTTCATCATAGTTGATCCTTGTATTATTCCTTCTGCTGACCTGTTCTTACTTTTAATATAATTAAATATATTATTCACTCTAGGCTAAAAGGTCCCAACGCTTTTATCTTTTTTCATGAACTATGTTTTCTAATCCTGAAATTATATTGGCTTCATGACCTTGGGCAAGTCACTTAACTTATCTAAACCTTCATCTCATAAAACTCACAGGAGCATGCAAAGGTGTTTTCTAGTAAAAGTACTTCTTGGCATTTTTTTTTCTTTTTAATGGCTACATAAATTTTTATTTATATACATGTATATTTTTTTCTCCCCTCCAGTAAGCAATCTTTTAGTTTTAGGTGCATGAACCAAGCCCAAGTCACTGGCTGTGTTTCCAAGGATTTAAAATGCCTTCTCTTTCACAGTATCTGCTTCTGCTTTTCCTTCCCAGAGTCGAAAGCATGCAAGCAAAGTCCGACTGTATTACATGCTTCATCCCAGGGACGGTGGGTGTCCTGCCAAGAGGCTCCGGTCAGAAAATGTGAGTATCTGGCACCATGTGATATCCTTAGACGATTTGTTCTTCTTGCTAAGACTTTTGCAGATGTAGGAATTGTGGTCATGTCCAGCTTAGTGGGAAAGTTAAGTTAGTAGAAACAGTTCTCATTACACATTACAGAAAATATTACACGTAAGCAAGCCTTTTTTCTTTTTCCTGCCGGAACTTGCCAGCATGATGTTGGAGGACTTTTTGAATATACCATTCTGGGATTGTGCAGAGAAAGGATAGACAGAGGTGCTGGGACGGAAAGAGGTCGAGTGAGGGGAGACAGGAACCGCCAGAAGGCAAAGAGCAAGGAAGACATGACCTAAGGGGCAAACCTGTCAGAAATAGCAGATACTTTGCTTTTTACATATTTTATTTTTCCTTTGGTGTGTAAAACAGAATGCCAATTTGTTCATTTATAATGAGGACTGTGCACATTTTGAAAATAAAAATACTCAGGGCTTTTGATCAGCAACCCCTGTCCTTGAGGGAACATTTACTTGGGAAGACAAATGGTAATTAGAAAATTGCTTTGAGGGTGTAAAGTCAAAGCAAAGAGTTTGCTTTAGCCAGGCTAAAGCTAAGACTGATGCAATAAATATTCCTTCTTCCCAGCAGGGCTTACTTTTCCTAATGAGTAGAATATTGTTTTTAATTTGAGCTGTTTTTCTTGTTAAATTATAGTTGGCATAACATGATATTAGTTTCAGAAGTACAACATACTGATTCAACATTTATATATCTTACGATGAGCGAACAGCACACTAAGCCTAGTAACCATCTGTCACTGTGCAAATTTATCACACTATTATTGATGATATTCCTCTTTACTTTTTTTCACTTCTCCCTCTACCCTCTACCCTCTGGCAACCATCAGTTCGTTCTTTGTTTTTGAGTCTGTTTTTGTTTTGTTTTATTTTGTTCTTTTGTTTGGATTTTTTTTTTAACTCTAAGTATAAGTGAAATCATGTGGTATTTGTCTTTGTCTGACTTATTTCACTTAGCACAATACCCTCTAGGTCCATCCATGTTGTCACAAATGGAAGGATTTTATTTTTTATTGCTGAGTAATATTCCATTGTATATAAGTACCACATCTTTATCTATTCTATCAATGGATATGTTGGTTGCTTCCATATCTTGTCTATTACTGGTAATGCTGCAATGAACATAGAGGTGCATATATCTTTTCAAATTAGTATTTTCATTTTCTTTGAATAAATATCTACAAGTGGAATTGATGAATTCTATGGTATTTCTATTTTTAGTTTTTTGAGGAACTTCTATATTGTTTTCTATAATGGCTACACTAACATCGAGTGTAGTATTTACAGCCATCCATTGCAGAGATCCTCCACAATATACACTGAAGATTAAACAAAGAAGTTCCTTCTTGGTATCCTATACTATCACTTATGCTTGTGATCCTGTTTTCCTTTGCTGTCATACGGATGCCAATCTTCTCTTTATTAAAAATTAATACATGATCATTGAAGAAACTTGACAAAAACTGTATTTGTATATTCTTCACAGGAAAAAAAAAGAGAGAGCAAGAGAACAGCTATGACCAAAGGTAGTGAATATCAGGGCTGGTGTTGTTAGCGAATTCCAAGCATGCCTCTAAGCATCACAAAATGAAGTGCTCATACACATACTAATCTGGAACTCTGTGGAGTTTTCTTTACTGCCTGGGTGAAGCAACATTTAGAGCTTACTGGAGGCAAAAGATGTCATGAAAACTTTACAAGCTGCTTAGAAGTGGGGCTGAGCCTATTTCTGTCAGCTCTTAGCTTTATGACCGTGGACAAATAATTGATTTCTTAGAGCCTCAGTTTGCTCGATAAGGCTTTAATAATCATGCTTTTCTCACTGGGTTTTTGTGAATATGAAATGAAAGGACAAGTAATGAGGTACATTGTTATACATCAGGCGCTGAGGAAAGGGAGGTAAATAAGACACAGGCTTTTCTAAAAGATACTCATTATATAGTGAGGGAGATTAACATTGTATAAAAAATAGCTATAATGCCACAGAACAGGTGTTTATTAACATTCTGCACAAAATCCCATGGAGACAAAGTTGTGCCAGAGCAATCCCATCAGGAAAGGTGTTACTGAAGAGTTGGCATTTGATCTGGGGTCTTTGGGTTAGAATGGATTGTGCCGGATGGAGGCGGTGGGAGTGAGGAAAGAAGACAGGTGCATTCCTATCAACAGAATTTATGAACCCACAGGAGAGTTGGCCTAAGCCAGCTTTTATGTTATCTTAGAGTCCTGTAGCTACACTAGAGTCATGCTTTCCATCAGGTATCTATTAGAAGAGAGAACAAAATTAGATTTTTTTTCCCTTTGAGATTATCCAGGGATGGTGCCTATATTCCTTCATTCAATAGGCATTCAGTGTCTTATCCTAAGAGAAACACTGGGTTCACAGACACTTGACAATTAGCTCTTTGAACATGGATTACTTTCTATCCACTCAAGTTCTAATGATGAATGTTGCACTTATATCTGAGCTCCTAGAGAGGGCTCGATCAGGCAGACAGAAGGGGACGCTGGGACTCAAGCTGGTGTTCCTAGACAACTCGGTCTTTGCCACCCATGAGTCACCCCACTCAGGCTTCATCCTGTTCTGCCAGTAACCTCGAGGTCACTTTATGGAAAGAAGATATTTGGATTTTAGAGCAAGAAATGTTTGTGAGCATTTGAGAATTTTTTCTTTTGATGTATTCTACATTTTAAAAACTTTGATCCACCATCGATGTATTTATTAAATCATTTTCTATAACTTATTAATCATTGTATATAAGCAAATCAGTAAGCAAGAAAAGCAACATAATGATCTTTTTTGAAAGATGCGGTTGATGCTTTTATTAGGCTGCATGTCCATGTCATAGGTGAATATGTCATTTCCACTGGGTGTTTTGATATATTGTGTGAAGTGTGGAAGCTACCCCTAGTCTTTCTCCAGGGCTCTAAGAATCAATACTGGTAATTATCTGGAACAACTTTCTTTTGTACGGATTGATACCTAAGAGTTGAGAGACTGAATATACAAATAGACAATGGCCAGGCCATATATAAAAATAGAACTTTGTTTAGAAACCCAAGCCATCAATGTACAGTAACCAGCCCAAGAAGCTTGCCTAAGTCAGACTTACAGAAAGTCAGACCACTGTGTTTAGTATTAATCTGGGAAGACAAACAATAACTCTTGTAACAATAGGCCTCAAATGGCCAGGGCTTGATTACTACCTAATTCGATGGCTTCTCTAATTCTTGTCCCCACTTCCAGCTTAGAACCAACTAGGAAAAAGCTGCATATGCTGCCCTAACCAATCACATAGGTTAACACACCCACAGCTTCCCTAAGCCAACAGTATCCTCTCATGGCATATCTGAAGCATCCCCTTTTTTCCATTATAAAGCATTCTCACTTTTCTGCTTGCCTTTGTGTCTCCTCCAAACACAAGTGATGGTGGCTGACTTCCTTGCTATATCAAGCTTTGAATAAATAACCTTTCTGGTTCTCATTGATTGTTCTTTGTTTATTTCCACATGGTTGCTAAATGGGATAACAATAACATCTAATGTCATAATGCCCAAGTGAGGTAACTCATTTATTCAACAGTTCGTTTTCAAAGCACTTTCTGCATGCGTTTTCACCAGCACCCTGTGTTCTTGGAAGTATGTAACACCTTATTCTCTACTCCTGCCCGTGCTCCCACCTGTGCTGCTTCCAGCGGCTGTGACAGGTTTGCATCCTAGTGTGACCTGACTGAGAACAGTGTCATGGCTGCTCTGAATACCCAACAAAGTGAGTGGCTTCTACAAAGACAGAAAACTTGTTGCTGACTTTTCGGACCCTGACCGTACATGAACTTTGAGTTCATAGTGATTCCAGAAATTGATGGGGCTGAGGGGTAATGACAGCCACCCTTCCCTTCTCCCATCTGAGGCCTCTGGATATATATAGTAGCTTCAAATTTGCATACAGATGAACAGAAGTGCTTATTATTATTCCCAAGGTCTATAGCCATTTCTACTCCGGATCATGTGATCTCTTCATCATTGTCGTCATTGTCGTCGTCGTTGTTGTTCTTTAAAAACTTAAATTCCTTTCTTTCTCCTATCCTGGCATTTTTAGCTTTTAAATCTCCCCTTCACATGTTTTTACTCTTTAGAATCCACAATTGGATCTTTTATGTATTTTTCCCCTGAAATTTTAGAGCAAAATATTTTCCCATTGGTGTCACAGAATAAAATTACATGTGGAATAAATTGTTATACTTGATTGCCTTAGAGAAACTTTCAGTAATCCCCTGAGCATTAGAGTCAAAAAGGACTTTAGAAATCCTCTAGTGCATTAAGAATCTCAGGTTTTCACTAATGGCTCTTTTTATTATCGTCTTACCCATGGATCACATACTTTGGGAAAAAAATCATGTATTTGGGAAATAGCACTTTTAAGTAAAAAGGTGACTTAGTTTTACTGTTATTTTTATTCTGTAAAGATAAGTAGCTGCCAACCCGAATCTCCAGTTAATATTAAGTAAATAGTGTTTTTACATGGAGTTAATATAATTCCTTCTAAGTGGAGAAACTTGACATTTGGTTAGTGTGATCAGGCTTGTTAGGCCTAAATATTTATCTGATTTCCCTTAGGTCTAAAATATTCCGTATAGCTTGAGAACCTCCAGTATCCCTTTCACAGGTTCCTAAACATCCTGGATTTCAGGTTGGAAGGACTCACCTGTTCCACGCAGAGCCCCCATCTCCTTGCTCTTGTTACAAAGGTGAAAATAAGGCTCAAAGAAGCACCATGACTTGTCCAAATTGGTCAGGCCTGAGATTAAGACTCTCCCTGCTTCCCTAAATCCTATTCCTAGGCTTCTTCCACATACCTCGAAATCGTATCTTATTTTTAGGCATTGAAGCCATTGCTGGGTCCAGAGTCATCGAACACCACTGAGGGAAAGTAACAGCAGTAGCTGG